AGAGTGTCCTCGTATGAGGCGCCGCCTCTGAGGTACGACGCCTGCAGGCGTTGGAGGGCTCTGTAATGAAGGGGACCTGGAAAGATGGCCTGTATGGAGGCCGCTAGGAGCCCGATCACGCGGGCCAGATGTCTGAGAGATATGTGTTGAGAGGTAAGAACTCGTCTTATCTCTTTCTTGATACTTCTCATTTTGGATGTTGGTAAATACAGGGTTTGTGTGTCTGAATCCACCAAGAGTCCTAGGAACTCTATTTGTTGAGTGGGGATTAGAATGGATTTTTCCCAATTTATAATGAAGCCCAAGTTCTGTAGCAAGGTTGTGGTCCAACCGAGGTGAATATGAAGTAATGATATTGATTGGGACAGTAGCAGGATGTCGTCTAAGTATATGATTAGACGAACTCCCCGACTGCGTAAGAGAGCGATGACGGGCTTCATGAGCTTGGTGAAACACCAAGGTGCGGAGGAGAGCCCGAAGGGAAGGCAGCGGAATCGCCATTTCCTCCCTTGCCATGTGAATTGCAGGAAGTTTTGGTGCACCTGCGCAACGGGTACCGTGAGGTAGGCGTCTCTCAGGTCGAGTTTGACCATCCAGTCCCCTGGCTGGAGTAAATCCCGTAGGCAGTGAATGCCTTCCATCTTGAAATGATGGTAGGTTACGTAGGTGTTTGTGTTTGAGGTTGATAACTGGGCGGGATCCGCCCCCTTTTTTGGGGACAATAAATAGATTGCTCACAAAACCCGGGGTATCTATCAGGATTTCTTGAATAGCCCCTTTGAGTGCTAAATCTTGAACTTCCTCGGAAACGAGGGTCGTGTCTGTTGGGGAAAAAACAAGCTCCCTTGGTTGGGAGAGTTGAGTGGGCAGAGATACAAAGTCTATTGGGTATCCTTGGACTGCCCTGAGAATCCAAGCATCTGATGTAATTAGAGCCCAGACATGGGAAAAATGCATGAGCCTGCCCCCTATTGCCACTTGTGAAGAAAATTGAGAAAGGTAACTTACCGTAAGGACGTCTTCCGGAAGGAGTGCCTCGTGCACCTCTCGACACCCAAGGTCTACCTCGTTGAGGGAAGAAGGTCGGGACGGACCTCTGGTCGGTAAAGGGGGGTCTCCCCATATAGGGACCTTGGTTCTGGCGCGAACCTCTATTGGCTCTGCCGGACAGACGGCCCCTTGCTCTGCCGGCCCCACCAAAAACCTTTGGGTGGAACACCCTCTTTAGATTAGATTGTGCCTTGTCCAAGGCTGTGAATGTCTGGACATAGGAGCCCAGGTCTTTGACAAAAGACTCCCCGAAAAGGAACCCTTTAGCTTGGGCTCCCGGCTCAGTAATTGCCATGTTTACAAGTTTTGGTTCGATTTTAATCAATATAGATTTACGGCGCTCAGTAGCCAGAGCCGTATTGGCATTGCCTATGAGGCATATCACCCTCTGAATCCAGCCTCTAATAGTGAGGCGATCTAAGGCTTCGTCTTGCCTCAAGGATTCCTCCACGGCCTCAAAAATTTTGGTCGCTGGACCCAAAATATCCAAGACTTTATCCTGACAATTATAAAGTGAGAAGTCTAGACCCTTCTTGGGTTTCCAACTTGTTTTACTTAAAAACTGAATAATTTTGGGGTCCACCTGGGGTGTTTTACAGACTTCGTCTGGTACGGTGGGACGTGGGCATTCGGCCCTTAATTTGTTACGAGTTGCCTTGTCCAAAGGCTTACGGACCCGAGATGCGACGTACTGCGCCACATGCTCAGCCGGTGACCATTCCGCAGAGCGGGGATGACGTAAGTCGTCGGGTTCGAACAACGGTTCACCCTGTGGGTCAAGGATTTTTCCCTCTTTGTTTAAGTCAGAACTGGGCCCATCAGTGGGACATATCTTAGTGGAGGGATTACACTCCTTAACAGTTCCATAGTCCGAATCTAAGTCGGACAAATCGTTAGACTGATCTGAGTCTAGGGCAGGGGCACTCTCCTCATCTGAACTGAGTTCTGACTCAGTCGAATCGGGCTGGGCTTTAGCCCACTTCCAGTGTCTAGCCGTTTTTGCCCGGCTAGAGGCTCTTTTGCGCGGTGTATCGATATTCGCGCCATCTATGACAGGTGCTATGCTGTCCATCACAAATTTGGAGGAGTGCTTGACTTTAGCCAAGGCTTTGCGGCCGAGGCGTGGGGGCTGAGAAACAGATGGTTTCGCGACTGGCACAGTCGGAGGGACCATTAATTGGGCCTGAAGTAGTGCTTGGGTAAATGATTTTGAAATAGAAGAGGACATAATGTCCATGGCAGATGCCAAAGCTTTGGAAACAGATCTGGATACAGTATCATCCATGATGGCTTGGATTTCCCCTGATGCTGGGAAATCCACCTCATCCCCTGAAGCTATAGGGGGAACATCCAAGAAAATTTGGGGGTTAGCTGGTGCCTCTGAGGGACCAGGCAATTCACTAGAGGACTGCATAATGTATTAAAATAGCAGACAAGAAAGGCAATTTTATTGTGAAAAGAAACAAGCAGGGTTGAGTAACCCAGCAAGAGTACTCACTAAAATTATCAAAGTATGGGAGCAGGAGAGAGGGGAACCGTCCGCCACAACACTGAACGCCAACTCCGACTCGAGGGACGGAGTGGGCGTGACACAGGAAAAGGGCGCGAAAAGCGCCGTTTAAAATGGCCGCCGGCAAAATTCCGGCTGGAATCGGGGTTCCCGCGGTGAGATCAGACCGCGAGGTAGCCGGCAGAGGTGAGGCCGGCTACCTGCAATAGAAAACGGTGGTGTGCGGCTGAGACCGCGCTCGGTTGTTAAAACCGGAGCGCGGGTACAGTAAACCAGCCGCAAGATGGCCGCCGGGGCGTCCCTGACGGGATGCGCATGCGCGGCTGAAGAGGGTAGTACCCGGAGCCGCGACCGCGGCGGTCAGCACAAAGAGAATCTCCCTAGGAACTTGTAGTGTCCTAGGGAGTAACCTAGGCAGAAATATCTATGAAGCATAAAATATTGATTGAAGTTGAGACTACAGCACCCTATGCTAATAGGGACAGAAATAGTCTGTACACATCATATATGAGTGAAACATGTTTGCCAGCATTAATATAACTAGCTTTAAAATAACAGACATATAATAATAAATAGAATAATAAATATAATAATAAATGTGTAAAACCACAGCCAGTAGCTGAGAATTGTACTTATCTGAGGGAAAGCAGCAAAGAAAGAGGAAATGGTCATCATTGCACCGCCTACTATATGGGAAAGATGTCACTGATTGGATGTCATGTTGCTAGGCAGACATTGCCTATAGGATGTTTAAACCTGTTTTGAATGTTTTCTTTCAATAATATTTCTTTGCTGCTGAGGGAAATAAAGAAAGAGTGCAGCATAATACTCGCCTCCGGGTCTTTAATAAAATTAAAGTTTATCTGCTTCATTAGATTTTAGGGAGGCACTTTAGGGCCACCTACTGGCCATCTTTGGGAGTTACATTGATATTACATTGCATAATCATCTTTAACGCTATACTGGCATATAACAGACAGAAGTAGGATTGTTTATCCTATTTTAATATATTTATTGCTATAAGGTTTTATTTTATGTATAAATATATTAAAAGTTAAGTTTTATTATTAGACCCATAAAGATTATTTTGATACAATTACCCTCTGGTGACACCTACTGGTAGGTTTTTGGTTTAACACTTTAAAACAAAAAAAAAATGTTTCATCCACCAAATGCTGACTAGTAAAATTAGCTCACCCCCTTCCACCTATCTTACTACTCTCAGACTGAGCAGCCTTGCCGAAGCCCTGTATTAACCCCAGGGCCGGATTAAGAGCACAGTGGGCCTGGTGCTGACAATTATGATGGGCCTAATTACGGAATCTTATCGACCTAAAACACTAAAACAATCATACCTCCCAAGCGTCATGTATCTGATGGAGATGGTGCTGGAGGGAAACTCATAGGATGCAGCTATAAGAAAACACATACTCTATGCTAATTTCTCTCTAATTTATGCTTTCATCTTTCAAGTAAATCCATAACCCCTAACAGCAGTGTCCAGTGAAGCAGGAAGTCAATGGGTGGGGTAAAAGGGTGGGCCACTGGCGCGAATCACGTGACAAGACCTGCCAAAAGGGGTGAACATGCCCAAAAAGGGGGCATGTTTGTCCAAAGAATTGGAAGGTCAGCCTGGCATGAATGCATGTCAGGCTGCCTGCCAATCCTGCAGGCTGTCCAACTAAGGGCATACTATGCAGGCAGCACCCTAAGCGTGGCACTTATCTCCTTACCTTCTTACTAGCAGGCAGAAGTTCCTGGTATAGTCTGAGACAGAGAAAAGGTGTCTGTAGTGAGTGTAGAAGAAAGGGGACATGCCACAGTGTTAGAGAGACCAACGTCTGCATTACCTAAACTAACTTTAATGTCAGCCAGTGCACACAAGTTTTGTTCCCATACATCCCTCTTAAGCTTCCAAACTTAAAGGGACACTATAGTCACCAGAACAACTACAGCTTATTGTATTTGTTCTGGTAAGTAGAATCATTCCATTCAGGCTTTTTGCAGAAAACACTGTCTTTTCAGAGAAAATAACTCCACTGGCCGCTCCTTAGATGGCTGCTAGAGGTGCTTCCTGGGGCAGTACTGCCTAGTGTGCAGCACTGCCATTCAGTGTCTCCACTCTCTGCATGCAGACTTTCCTCATAGAGATGCATTGATTCAATTTATCTTTATGAGGAGATGCTGATTGGCTAGGGCTATGTTGGACTTGTGCTGGCTCTGCCCCTGATCTGCCTAGTTGACAGTCTCAGCCAATCCTATGGGGAAGTATTGTAATTTGCTCAGACTACCACTTCTGAGCCAGCAGCTGCAGAATTGAATACAAGTAATATTTTACTATATTTAGGGAGGGAAGAAGGGGCCAGGGTGGTGGTTTTAACATAATAGGGTAAGAAATACATGATTGTGTTCCTGACCCTATAGTGCTCATTTAAGCAAGAGTATGTGAAGAGTAGTTAAGGTTGCCACCTTTCTTGGAAAAAAATACCAACCTTAATCATTTGTATAATTAATTAGTTATGCGTGTAAATCACAAGGAGTGAAAATTCTGTAAAATCACCAACAAACTACTCACAGTTTGATTCTGCTGTATAGACGGATTGCTCCCAGTGTCTCCCTGTCTCCCAGTGTCTCAGTCTCGCAAGTCACCCAGTGTCTCAGTGTCCCTATGTATCACAGTGTCAGTGTCCCCATGTCACCCAGTCCCCTAGTCTCCCAGTGTTTGTGTCCCCATTTCTCCCAGTGTCCCAATGTCTCAGTGTGTCCCCATGTCACTAGGATACTGGGGACACTGAGAGACATGGGGACACTGAGAGACCCGGGGACACAGAGACATGGGGACACTGGGAGACATGGGGACACTGAGACATTTAGGGAAACTGGGAGAAATGGGGACACTGAGACACTAGGGACACAGACACTGGGAGACATGGGGACACTGAAACATTTGGGGACACTAAGACACTAGGGACACAGACATGGGAACAAAGACACTGGGAGACTAGGGGACACTGGGAGACTAGGGGAAACTGTCTGGGAGACAGGGGACAGTTGTGGGCATAGACATGGGGACATTTGGACACATGGGGACACTAGGCACACAGAGACATGGGACACAGACACTGGGAGACTTGGGGACACTGAGACACTAGGGACACTGGCTGGGGGACATAGTGTCTCCGTGTCCCAATGTCTCCCAATGTCCCTATGTCTCACAGCGTCCCCATGTGTCTCAGCATCCCCATGTGTCCCCTAGTGTCTGTGTCCCCATGTTTTCCAGTGTCCCCAAGTGTCTGTGTCCCCAGGTCTCACAGTGCCTGTGTCCCCATGTGTCCTAGTGTCTCAGTGTCCCCTAGTGTCTGTGTTCCCATGTGTCCCCTAGTGTCTGTGTCCCCATGTCCCCAAGTGTCTCAGTGTCCCCTAGTGTCTCAGTCTCCCCATGTTTTGCAGTGTCCCCAAGTGTCTCAGTGTTCCCAGGTCTCCCAGTGTCTGTGTCCTAGTGTCTCAGTGTCCCCTAGTGTATGTGTCATCATGTGTCCCCTAGTGTCTGTGTCCCTTAGTGTCTCAGTGTCCCCATGTGTCCCCTAGTGTCTCAGTGTCCCCATGTGTCCCTGCTGCCTTTCCCCCCATCCCTCACTTACCTGAGCTGTAGAGCTGCTGTCTGGACTCTCTGTGCTGTGTAGCTGCTGCCCCACGGATCAGTGAGTAGTAGAGAGAGGCAGGGATATTCTGTAACTTCCTATCCCTGCCTCCCTCCACACACAGTGACCCCTACTGGCCGGTGCTGGTATTGCAGAGTAATTTCCATTTATTCTGAGAAAATTACCTGCATTTGTATTGCCGGTATTACTGCAATACCGGCACGGCCAGGCAGCCTCAAAAACCATCTGTGCCAATAAAATACCAGTCAGGAGGCAAACCTAAGAGTAGTGTGTAAAAAAAAAAAAATATATATATATATATATATTTTTTTTTTTTTTAAATGGGCCTATTCCATGGGCCTGGGCCTGGAGCTGCAGCTCCATCAGCCCCTATGTTAATCCAGCCCTGATTAACCCGACAGATGACCGTTACCCTCCAACCCCAACATTATCAAATGCCTCTCCGATTGACACCGGGCCCGACACACATTAATGGTGAAGGCCAGTTACAACATGCCGACCCCGTATTTGTTTATGTTCCCTTTACCACTACGGATTTGTTCAACTTGAAAACCCATAACTCCTCTTACACAGACAAACCTCAAGCCATGACAGATTTGATTACCTCCATAATCCAAACGCACAATCCCACTTGGGCTGATTGCCAGCAATTGCTTATGACATCGTTTAATAACGAGGAAAGGACTCGGATTAATCAGGCGGCAATTAAAGCGCTTGAAGAAGTGGCCCGTGCACAGAATCAGGCCAACCCGGTAGCATGGGCCGCAGCTCATTACCCAAACGTAGATCCGAATTGGAATGTTAATGGTGCTGATATGGCTCACCTAAAAGCTTATAGGGAAGCCATTATTACTGGCATGAAAGCCGGAGGGAAAAAGGCGATCAATATGTCAAAGACGGCTGAGGTATTGCAGAAATGTGATGAGTCGCCCAGTGCCTTTTATGACCGATTATTGGAGGCATACCGATTGTATACCCCCTTTAGTCCAGAGGCTCCTGAGAATTCCCGGATGGTTAACTCTGCCTTTGTCAGCCAGGCTTACGGAGATATTAAAAGAAAATTGCAAAAGCTAGAAGGGTTTGTAGGGATGTCTATAACTCAACTAATGGAAATAGCAAATAAGGGTTATATGAATAGGAAGACAGAGCGTAAGATGAGAAGGAAGGCAGATATGTTAGCGGTAGCTATCGCTGGTGTAGATAGAAGGGAAAAGGAAGTGTACAGGGGAACCGAGAAAAGCGAGAATAAGTGGAATAGGGAGCCTTTAAGTAGGAATCAAAGTGCATATTGTAGAGAGGAAGGGCATTGGAAAGTGACTGTCCACAGAGGGGATATATTGCAGGTGGTAGACAAGAAGAGAGAAGAGGGTGAGGTGGTTATAGAGGACGAGGTAGAGGAAGTTTTGGAGGAAATAGTGGGAATAATAGAGGAAGTGTTCAAGGGGACAGATATTATCTACCCACGCAGAGACCTAGAGAAAGAGAGGATAGAGACTTTGTGGGTTTGGCTGACACTGTTATGCAGGACTATTGATACCGACCGGGCTCCATTCCCCTTGGTCGAGCGGAGCCTATGGTCGATGTAGCAATAGGGGGAAAAAGGAGTTCTTTCATGATCGACACTGGTGCTGAACATTCTGTGGTAACCGACCTAGTTGCTCCTCCTTCAGGAAGAACTATCACTGTAATAGGAGCAACTGGGAGGAGTGCTGCTAAACCGGTTCTCAAAAGTCGACTCTGTACACTGGGAGGTCACGTAGTGAAACATCAGTTCCTTTACATGTCTGAATGTCCAGTCCAACTTCTAGGACAGGATTTGTTGTCGAAGTTACAAGCACAGATAACATTTCTGCCTAACGGAACAACATCCTTGAAGTTTAATGGACCCTCAGGTATAATGACACTATCAGTACCAAAGGAAGAAGAGTGGCGACTTTATACAGTGATGACAAGTCAAAACCCTAAGAGTGATGAATCCGTGTATAATATACCAGGAGTGTGGGCAGAAAATAACCCACCAGGACTTGCTCGCAATATCCCACCTATACGCATCGAACTAAAGCTTGGGGTTTATCCAGTAAGCCTGCGACAATACCATATACCTCAAAAGGCGAAGAAGAACATACAGTCTTATTTGGATAAGTTCATAAGGTATGGTATCCTAAAATTCTGTACTTCCCCCTGGAATACTCCATTGTTGCCTGTTCAGAAGCCTGGGTCAGATGAGTATCGTCCTGTGCAGGATTTGAGAGCAGTCAGTGATGCGGTAGTAAGTATACATCCAGTTGTGCCCAATCCTTATAACCTGCTTGCCTTGATTCCGGGTGGGGCTACTTACTTTACAGTCTTGGACCTTAAAGATGCCTTCTTTTGCCTACGAATTGCTACAGAAAGCCAGTGTATCTTTGCATTCCAATGGGAAGATGCTGTAACGGGCTCGAAACGTCAGATGACCTGGACAAGATTGTCCCAAGGGTTTAAAAATTCACCTACCCTATTTGGATCAGCATTAAGTCAGGACTTATTAGATTTCAAGTCCATCCCAGGAGAATGTGTACTACTACAATACGTGGATGATTTGTTGATAGCGGCAGTTACTAAAGAGATATGCCAGCAAGCAACTTATGATTTATTGCACATTCTTTGGAAGGCAGGATACAAGGTATCCAGGAAGAAAGCTCAGTTGTGTCAGCCAACTGTCAAGTATCTGGGATTCCATATCTCTGAAGGTCAAAGGATAATGGGGCCTGAAAGAAAAGAGGCTGTATGCCAAATACCAACATCTAAGAATAGAAGACAAGTGCGAGAATTCTTAGGGGCAGCAGGCTTCTGTAGGATATGGATTCCCAGTTATGCGATACTGGCGAAACCCCTCTATGCCGCTATTAAAGGCATGGAACATGATTCCTTCCTGTGGACCATCGAACAGCAGAAGGCATTTGAGGATGTTAAGAAGGCATTGATGAGCGCCCCCGCATTAGGTCTACCTGATCATACACGTCCATTCTACTTATATGTACACGAGCAAAGAAGGATGGCTGTGGTAGTACTGACACAGTATCTGGGATCATGGCAACGACCTGTTGCGTATATGTCCAAACAACTGGATGCAGTAGCCAGTGGTCTTCCTCCTTGTCTAAGGGCCGTAGCTGCCGCCGCCCTGTTGGTAGCAGAAGCTGACAAGCTCACTCTGGGTCAGGAACTCTATGTGCGAGTCCCGCACGCAGTACAGACATTGCTAGACCATAAAGGTAATCATTGGTTTAGCAATAGCCGAATGACTAAATATCAAGCCATGCTATGTGAAACTGTTAATACCCTTTTGCCACAATGAAATGAAAGTAAACATGATTGTTTGGAGATAATGGATGAGGTGTTTTTCAAGCCAACCGGACCTTCATGACTTTCCCATTCAGGACCCGGATGTACAGTATTATACGGATGGTAGTAGCTATGTGAAAGAAGGAATTACCCGGCGCCAGGTTGTAGAGTTGGGTAAAACTATGGAGGAGGTACAGAAATGGGTACAAGATAGGTTACCTGTAAATATTCATCCACCTGTCCATTCTTACCATCCAGGAGACCAAGTTTGGATAAAGGAATGGAACAGTGTACCGTTGGGGCCAAAGTGGAGAGGTCCTTATGCTGTTCTTTTGTCTACTCCAACAGCTATAAAGGTGGCAGAGGTGACTCCGTGGATTCATCACTCCAGGGTTAAACCAGCAGCAGATTCTTGGCAAGCTACTCAAGATCCTGAGAATCCCTGCAAGATCTGGTTGAAGCGAGTGACCCAGTTAGATTAAAAGTGGTTTTTGCGAAGAGTATTGTTACAAGGGAACATAGAAACATAGAAACATAGAATGTGACGGCAGATAAGAACCATTCGGTCCATCTAGTCTGCCCAATTTTCTAAAAACTTTCATTAGTCCCTAGCCTTATCTTATAGTTAGGATAGCCTTATGCCTATCCCATGCATGCTTAAACTCCTTTACTGTGTTAACCTCACCACTTCAGCTGGAAGGCTATTCCATGCATCCACTACCCTCTCAGTAAATGTACTTCCTGATATTATTTTTAAACCTTTGTCCCTCTAATTTAAGACTATGTCCTCTTGTTGTGGTAGTTTTTCTTCTTTTAAATATAGTCTCTCCTCCTTTACTGTGTTGATTCCTTTATATATTTAAATGTTTCTATCATATCCCCCCTGTCTCGTCTTTCCTCCAAGCTATACACATGTTAAGATCCTTTAACCTTTCCTGGTAAGTTTTATCCATGAACCAGTTTAGTAGCCCTTCTCTGAACCCTCTCTAAGGTATCAATATCCTTCTGAAGATACGGTCTCCAGTACTGTGTACAATACTCCAAGTGAGGTCTCACCAGTGTTCTGTACAATGGCATGAGCGCTTCCCTCTTTCTACTGCTAATACCTCTCCCTATACAACCAAGCATTCTGCTAGCATTTCCTGCTGCTTTATTACATTGTCTGCCTACCTTTAAGTCATCAAATAATCACCCCTAAATCCCTTTCCTCAGATGTATACCAAATATTCTGTACTCTGCCCTTGGGTTTTTACGTCCAAAATGCATTATCTTTGCACTTATCCACATTAAATGTCAGTTGCCACAACTCTGACCATTTTTCTAGTTTACCTAAATCATTTGCCATTTAGCTTATCCCTCCTGGAACATCAACCCTGTTACATATCTTAGTATCATCAGCAAAAAGACATACTTACCATCAAGACCTTCTGCAATATCACTAATAAAAATATTAAAGAGAATGGGTCCAAGTACGGATCCCTGAGGTACCCCACTGGTGACAAGTCCAAGCTTCGAATATATTCCATTAACTACAACCCTCTGTTGCCTGTCACTCAGCCACTGCCTTACCCATTCAATAATATTGGAATCCAAACTTAAAGATTGCAGTTTATTGATAAGCCTTCTATGTGCAACAGTGTCAAAA